AGAATCCCTTGAGCCCAGGAGATTGAGGTTGCAGTGAGTTATTAAATTAATAAAATCTAGCAATAACGTGTTTTTAGAGACACACTTAATACCTAAAAACAAAGAAATTTCATAAAAGGATGAGAAAAGATACTAGAAAAATAGTATCCTTTCCCCATCCCCTGCACTAAAATAGAGCTGGCATTGCTAGACTAATATAAAACAAGATAAGACTTTAAGGGAAAAAGCATCATTTTATAAAGCATTTCTATAAAAATACAAATTATCAAAACAGCCTCAAAAGGAAATAGAAAACATGAGAACTGCCAGGCGCAGTGGCTCACATCTGTGATCCCAGCACTTTGGGAGGCAGGTGGATCACAAGGTCAGCAGATTGAGACCATCCTGGCCTACATGGTGAAATTCCATCTCTACTAAAACTACAAAAAAATTAGCTGGGCATGGTGGCACATGCCTGTAGTCACAGCTACTCAGGATTCTGAGACAGGAGAATTGCTTGAACCCAGGAGGTGGAGATTGCACTGAGCTGAGATCACACCATTGCACTGCAGCCTGGATGACAGTGCGAGTCTCCGTTTCAAAAAAAAAAAAAAAAAAATGAGACTTATGAATAATGAAGAAAATTGAATCAGTAGTCAAAAATCTATTCCTTCCATTTAAAAAACTACTAGGCTCAGACAAAACTGTCAAGAAATAGATAACCCTCTATCTTACTGACTCAAACTTCCACAGAAAACATACAGTAATAATTCCTCAACTCATTTTATGAGGCTAATATGTCACTGATCCAAAAATTAGACAAGGAAAGCAGAACAAGTAAAACTACAGGCCAATAGTGCTTATGAATACATGTAAAACCCTAAATAAATATTAGCATTGAGTCCACCAGTGTATAAATGGTATCATATTTCATTGAATCTAAAAATGTCACTCATTGTAAGATGCACCATTACTTTATAGACTAAAAGAAAAATGCTATCACTTCAACCATGACATAATACTTTCTTATCACTCATACATTTTTTATATTTACCATAAGAGCTTTTTAAATATATTTATACAATTTTTTATCATATATCATTCCTCTGCATTAATAACAGAGGTAAAATAAATAAGGTAAGATACTCCTAAGACTTCATATTCAGAGTCCAACTCTTCTAAATCACTTTTCAACTTAGAGTCTCTGACACTCATTCTCGCCATCAAGAAGTGGTAATGCAACATTTCATGAAAAAGTCTCTACTATTATCTACGGTATTTTCTTCTAAGCCATTAACACATATTTTGAAAGTTTTGATGTTGAAGTTTTTTTCTTTAACTTACTGAAACGTGACATTGTAGTACAGAAACATACTGGAGGCCAGGTGGGGTGGCCCACGCCTGTAATCCCAACACTTGGGGAGGCTGAGGCGGGAGGATCACTTGAGGCCAACTGTTCAAGACCAGCCTGGGCAACACAGTGAAGCCCTGTCTCTACATACATACCTACATATATACATGAAATATACTGGAATATCCCCCGCTTAGATTTTACAAGTAGAAGCATAGATTCCCACTTGATGTAAATAAGCCCTTCCCACTTGATGTAAACAAAACTTTTAAAATATATATGTATATATAATATATATATAACTTATTATTTATCAGTCCAGATTCAGAAACTTGTGGTAAGCCAGTTGCAGATAGTTTCATTTCACCTGAAAAACGATATCACTTTGACTGATACCGTAATTTTCAATTGTATAATATGTTTACAGATGTGCCCTGCATTAATGTTCCTATTTTGGTTTTTGTTGCGTCTCCTGTGTGCTTGCCAAAACATAGGATGCTTCAGGCCCATGTACAACTGAAAGCAGAGGCATCCATGAGCATTAAAGCTTTAAACTATTGGAAAATGCAATATGCCACATAACTGAAGTCAAAAAAAAAAGGCTATATATTTGTGTTTTTTTAAATAAAAGTTTGCGTCATGTTTTTTTAAAGAAATACACTGTAGCTGGGCGCAGTGGCTCATGCTATAATCCCAGCACTTTGGGAGGCCGAGGTGGGTGGATCACGACGTCAAGAGATCGAGACCATCCTGGTCAACACGGTGAAACCCGGTCTCTACTAAAAATACAAAAATTAGCTGGGCATGGTGGCGCGTGCCTGTAATCCCAGCTACTCAGGAGGCTGAGGCAGGAGAATTGCCTGAACCCAGGAGACGGAGGTTGCAGTGAGCCGAGATGGCACCATTGCACTCCAGCCTGGGTAACAAGAGCAAAACTCCATCTCAAAAAAAAAAAAAAAAAAAAAAAATACACTGTAATACTCCAAAATTGCTAAAATGAATGAATGAATAAGTCTCAAAACCATCAAGTGGGAAATAAAAGCACAAAAGTATATCCACAGAGTGATACAATTTATACATTTTAAAATCCCAAGAAAAGGCTGGGTGTTCATACCTGTAACTCTAGCACTTTGAGAGGCCAAGGCTGGGAGACTGCTTGGGGCCAGGATTTCAAGAACAGCCTGGGCAACACAGCAAGACCCCATCTCTACAAAAAAAAGAAAAAGAAAAATTCACACCTAAAAGCTAGGTGTGGTGTCATATGCCTATAGCCCTAGCTACCCAGGAGGCTGAGGTGAGAGGATTGCTTGAGCCCAGGAGTTTGAGGCTACAGTGAGCTATGATTGTGCCTGGGTGACTGCACTCCAGCCTGGGTGACAGAGTGACACCCTGTCTCTAAATAAATTAAATAAATACCTGAAATGAATTTTTTATGTTGTCACAGGTATGCAAAAGAATAGAGTGGCAGTGGTTCACACCTGTAATCCCAGCACTTTCAGAGGCCAAGACAGGTGGATCACCTGAAGTCAGGAGTTCAAGACCAGTCTGGTCAACACGGTGAAACCCCAACTCTACTAAAAATACAAAAGATTAGCCAAGCGCCATAGTGGGTGCCTGTAATCCCAGCTACTCAGGAGGCTGAGGCAGGAGAATCACTTGAACCTGGGAGGCAGAGGTTGCAGTGAGCCAAGATCGCACCACTGCACTGCAGACTGGGCAACAAAACCAAAATTCTGTCTCAAAAAAAAAAAGAAAATAAGAAAATAAAGTGTGAGGGGAAAAGTGCATAGGAATTAATGATCACCTGTAGGGAGGAAGGGTGAGAAAAGCAGTGGGTAGGGGAGCAGGTAGGGGAGTGGATAGGGGAAGTGGCATCTTAACATTTTGTACTTTGGTATTTCTTTAAAGAAAATCTGGCTAGGTGCAGTGGCTTACAACTATAATCTGAGAACTTTGGGAGGCCGAGGCAGGCAGATCACTTGAGGTCAGGAGTTCGAGACCGGCCTGGCCAGTATGGTGAAACCTGCTCTCTGCCAAAAATACAAAATTAGCCAGGCATGGTAGCAGGCACCTGTAATCCCAGCTACTCAGGAGGCTGAGGTAGGAGAACCACTTGAACCTCGGAGATGGAGACTGCAGTGAGCTGAGATCATGCCACTACACTCCAGCCTGGGTGACAGAGGGAGATTGCCTCGAAGAAAAAAGAAAAGAAAATCTGAAGAAAATATGGCAAAATGTTACTATTTGTTAAAGCTAGGTGGAGGCTACAAATGTGTTTACTATGCTACTTTCTGTCTTTTTGGTATATTTTAAATATTTCAAAATGTAAACATGTTACACAGAAAAGATACGGCCATATGCACGGTATGCCCACTATAAAAGGACTATCCTATAGAAAAAAGACAAGCTTGAAAAGGAGATCTTTGTTTATAACGGCAACAAAAATTGAAAACAGAATTAGTAAAATAAACTGTGGTATAACCATACAATGCAATGCCATGCAACCATAAATAAATGATGGTTCAGTAGTCTGAATACTGGGCCAGGTATGTTGGCTTGTGCCTGTAATCCAAGCATTTTGGGAGACCGAGGCAGGTGGATCACTGAAGGTCAGGAATTCAAGACTGGCCTGGTCAACATGGCGAAACCCCATCTCTACTAAAAATACAAAAATTAGCCAGGCATGGTGGTGCACACCTGTAATCTCAGCTACTCAGGGGGCTAAGGCAGAAGAGTCACTTGAATCTGGGAGGCAAAGGTTGCAGTGAGCCAAGATCATGCCACTGCACTCCACCCTGGGTGACAGTGAGACTCTGTCTCAAAAAAAAAAAAAAAAGAAGTCTGAATACTGACTTAGAAAGATGTTGACAGTATATTAAGTGAAAAAAAACAGACCATAAAATCATAGGTTCTCAACTAAGGTATTAAATGGTTAAAGGAACCTTCTCCTATATGCGCAAACAGGCCCAAGTTCCATTAACGCACCTGCTATATTTCAGTCTCTTATCAACTAGCATCCATGGAAAGAAAACCAAAAGAACTCTGATAACAATAAAAAGCATAATAGATTAATCCTAGAGTTTCAAACAAGAAAGATGTTGCTATAATATCTATACTGAACAGTTGTATTCTAAGCCAAAAAAACAGTTATTTCCCACTGTTGTTTTCAACAAATCTCATCTTTCCAGATGAGACCTGTTCCATCTCACCATCTAGTCAGAGAGCTACCAAAGCTAGCACAGTAGCATAAATTGTTGATCATATATACAAAAAATCAGGTAAAATATAATAGATGATATACAAAATAAATTAAGTCAGATACTATAAACAATGCAATCCGAAGCTATATTCCATATTTACAAGAGGAAAGAGTGGCAGCAAGAAATCACTGAAAGAATTTTGAGAGAAAATGAAACATCTTTGTCCTACTATATTTATACCCTCTGATAAACTGGAAATATTTACTTGGGTGCACTAAAACTCTATGTTGTTAATTAAAACTTGCCAAAAGGTCTAAGAATCATAAATATCCTATGTTATAAAAACTGCAATCGCGTATAACATATATGTGGGGAGTTAGGATTCTTGGGGAAATATTTTAATTATTATTCCTTTAATGTAAATGTATTTCTTGTGTTCTTTATACCTTGATGAAATATTTTGAGACTGATAAGACCCAAAAGATATAATCTGCATTTATTGTGTAGAAATTCAGAATGGCTCAGGTTACACAAAAGTAGTCAGATATAAAGGGCACTAAATTTCATCTTCTCAAAGAGCTGATTTTGAATTCAATCACCCTTTGAGAGAAGACATCCCAGCTCGCATGATTTCATCAACCAGGAGAATGTTGGTGGCAATCACTGTGCTAAAGAAAAAGATTAGAGAGTGAGTAAAGCCTACCAAACCCACTCTTAACTTTTTCCCCCAGCAATCTTTAGCTATGTAGGGTACTTTGTTCTTTAATGATGTTGGTGTGATATTTTATGAGACAAGGCTATTATAAATAGAAATGTCACCTTTTTTTTTTTTTTAGATGGAGTTTAATTCTTGTTGCCAGGCTGGAGTGCATGGTGAGACCTCAGCTCACTGCAACCTCCACCTCCCAGGTTCAAGCAATTTTCCTGCCTCAGCCTCCGGAGTAGCTGGGATTACAGGTGCCCACCACCACACCCAGCTAATTTTTGTATTTTAGTAAAGACAGGATTTCTCCATGTTGGCCAGGCTGGTCTCAAACTCCTGACCTCAGGTGATCCACCTGCCTTGGCCTCCCAAAGTGCTGCAATTACAGGCGTGAGCCACCACGCCTGGCCCAATGTCATGCTTTGTATTATAATTTCAACTCTTTTGCTGATAAGGTGGATGCCTGATTTATATTCCAGCAAAATTGAGCTTATTTTTACAATATCATTTTATTTTCTCCACCATGCACATGCTACTATTTCAGCAAAATTTCCCCTTTCCCTTCCCCTTGAAGTAGATTAATTTTTCTTATAACTTAACACTGCCAGATCTAAAACATAAAAGGGACTATGGACTATAAAATGACAGAAGCTATTCCTAATAACTGAATACTACACCTTTCATACACTTGACAATTTTTCCACCATAGAGTGACAAAAATAATAGAAAAATTTTCACCTTAATATTATCAGTTATAACTCTAAAGGTGTTTCACTTTATGTTCATACAAACTTACCAAGAGTGAAGAAGTTGTTTTTTTACACAATAATTATCCCATACTCCTTCATCTGCTGCTACCATTGGCTCACCTGCAAAGTAAAAACAATTTTAATCCCAAAATATTAGTATTTTCTATTAATATTAATTGATACCTTCTAAAAATACTTAATACACTACCAAAACGACTTTTGTCATGGTAATCAATGACCTCCATATTGTTAAATCCAATGGTTGGTTCTCAGGCCTCATCTATCAATATCTAACACAGTTAATCACACTCTCCTGCTTACTTTCTTGTCTTCCAGGACACTACATTCCCCTGGTTTTCTTTCTTTTGCACTACTGGCTCTTTTTCTGATTACTTCACTGGTTCTTCCTCTCCCTCCCTGACCTCTTAATGTTGGAGTACACAAAGGTTCAGTCCTAGACTCTTTTCTCTCTACACTTACTCCCTAGGTGATCTCATCCAGATTTTTAGATTTAAACCATACACATCTGATGACTCTCAAGGTTGGGAGCAGGGGAGATTGTGGTGTTTTGTTTTTGTTTTTGAGACAGAGATCTCGCTCTGTCACCTAGACTGGAGTGCAGTGGCGAAATACCGTCTCACTGCAACCTCTGCCTTCTAGGTTCAAGCAATTCTCCTGCCTCAGCCTCCTGAGTATCTGGGATTACAGGTGCTCTCCACCATGCCTGGCTAATTTTCATATTTTTAGTAGAGACAGGATTTTACCATGTTGGCCAGGCTGGTCTGAACTCCTGACCTCAAGTGATCTGCCCACCTCGGCTCCCAGAGTGACTGGAACTACAGGCATGAGCCACTGCACCCAGCTTGACTCTCAAGTTTTAATCTCCAACCCAGACCTCTTCCTTGAACTCCCGACTCATATATCCAACTTTTTTTTTTTTTTTTTTTTTTGAGACAGAGTTTCATTCTTGTTGCCTAGGCTGAATACAATGGCAAGACTTCATCTCACCATAACCTCCGCCTCCCAGGTTCAAGTGATTCTCCTGATTCAGCCTCCTAAGTAGCTGGGATTACATGTGCATTTCATCATGCCCAGCTAATTTTTAGTATTTTTAGTAGAGATGAGGTTTCACTATGTTGGCCAGGTCGGTCTTGAACTCCTGATCTCAGGTGATCCACCCGCCTTGGCCTCCCAAAGTGCTGGGATTACAAGTGTAAGCCACTGTGCCTGGCCCAACTTCATTAATTAAAAGATTGCAGATGCTTCAACCTTGACTCTGCCAAAACTGAATGCTGATGTCCTTTCACCCACAACCTGCTCCAGCCAATCTTTTCCACCACAATTGATTACAACTCCAACTTTCTGCTTATTCAGCTGACTTCTCTACAGAGTGGAAAGTGGCCAGAGTGATCCTCTTAAACATAATTAGGCCATGCGCCTGACCAACATGGTGAAACCCTGTCTCTACTAAAAATACAAAAATTAGCCAGGCATGGCAGCTGGCACCTGTTAATCCCAGCTATTCAGGAGGCTGAAGCCGGAGAAATGCTTGAACCTGGAAGGCAGAAGTTACAGTAAGCTGAGATCATGCCACTCCAGCCTGGGTGACAGAACCAGACGGTCTCATAAATTAATTAATTAGGCCATGTCACACCTCTACTCAAAATTGCTCCCTGCTCCTCTAAAGGAAAAGCCAAAGTCCTGAGACTGGCCAAAATGCCTTTGCATGATGGGACCTTCTGTCACCTCTCACACTTCCTTCCTCCTTCCTCAAAAACATCAGACACTGGATTTTCCACTGGCTGTTCCCTTTCCCTAGAACACTTAACCCCAGTTGCCCACATGGCTAATTTCCTCACTTCCTTCCACTTTTTTTCAATAGGTATCTTCTTGATGATGCCTATCCTGACCAACCTCTTTAAGCTGCCATTCTTTCTCCACCCTCCTGCTCATGATCATTATTATACCACTCTTTTTCATATAATTTATTACTTTCTAAAATGCTGAAGCAGTTTATTTATTAAAGTTATTATTTACTGCCTACCTTCTCCCACTACAACATAAGCTCCCAGGGGCAGATAATTTTGTCTGTTTTGTTCTATGTGAAGCCCAAGAGGAAAACAAGCACTTAATAACTATTTCTTAAATGAATGAATATTGTTAAGAAGCTCAAAAATGCCGGGCGCGGTGGCTCAAGCCTGTAATCCCAGCACTTTGGGAGGCCGAGGCGGGTGGATCACGAGGTCGAGAGATCGAGACCATCCTGGTCAACGTGGTGAAACCCCGTCTCTACTAAAAATACAAAAAAAAAAATTAGCTGGGCATGGTGGCGCGTGCCTGTAGTCCCAGCTACTCAGGAGGCTGAGGCAGGAGAATTGCTTGAACCCAGGAGGCGGAGGTTGCGGTGAGCCGAGATCGTGCCATTGCACTCCAGCCTGGGTAACAAGAGCGACACCTGTCTCAAAAAAAAAAAAAAAGAAGCTCAAAAATAAAGGCATCTAAAATTTAAATATTAAAGTTACCCAAACCTCCACTCCTTTACTAGAAGATCTGGATAACTGAAGAATAATCTCTTTATTAAGCAGCTAATTTTCCTTCACTTTCTTACCTGTGTTCAAATCTATGCCAACAAGTTGTTTTGATTCGAAATGCTCAGCCTGAACTTTTACTAGTGTTTCCTGTGGGTCATAACCAGCATTCTGAGCAAGAACCTTTAGGAATAAAAATAATAATATAGATGCATAATACCTTCACATATATCAAATATAAAAATACTCTTTAGTCTTGTAAAAACACATCTATAACATGGCAATCATCTCCTTTTTCCACTTTTAATCTAAATCAAATTATTATTTCATCTATCTAGTAGTTTTTATATTTACTTAAACATTTCCCCTTTTCACATCACACTGAATTCTGAGGACATCAGAGTTCCCCATTTCCAGCCCAATACATTCATTTCCCTCCTTGCAAAAGATTTTATTGTTTGTTTGTTTTTTGTTTTTGTTTTTTGGTGTGGAAGGAAGTAGAGTGATGTTCTTGTTTCCCCTAGTACTGCTAGCCACATACCCTCCAATTCTTCCTAGGCACTTGCTAGGGAAACCAGAATATTTGCAGCACCTTTGTGCCCCTCGTCTTCATAAGGAAAGTCATAACCTGTGGTAACAGGGTTGGAGATACCCACACTCCAAACCAGGCTCATTTCCAAGTGGTCCCAAATCACCAGCTGATGAGGGAAAAGGTACCACCAATGTATTCTGGGGTTACCAATTTCTGTCAACAACAGGATCATACTGCCTTTGCTGCTCTAGGGAAGGAAAACATAGAAATCTAATTCACAAAGATTTCACAAATTATGAATAATTTTAATAGAAATTAGCAAAGAGATTTTGCTAGTATTGTCAATAATGTTTTAATTCATGGTAATAGCATCTTTAAAGTAGTTTTAGGATATTTCTAAGGTGGTTCAAAACCAATTAAGGCAACTAGAAAGGAATAGTTGTTTTCTGTCCTTAGGTTGCTACACAGAAAAATTCTGTTTTCTCTTTTTCTAGGAATTATAATGGTGATGACAAACGCAAGGTTATATCTAGGAATGCTAAACAGCCTCAAGTCCTCACTCTTTACAAATTGATTGCATTTGGATACCACTAACAAAGCAAAGATGTACCATAAAATCTAACTACATTTTAAGTTCTAAACTTTTTCATTATGGTTAGTTAATCGTGAGTCATTTCCGAAGGAAATTTTTGGAGCCGCTATAATTTTTGGAACTCAGAGGAGCAAACAAGGGGGTAAGCTGGCTATTTCATAAGATGGTGCAAGGATTCTGGGCTGTTATCCCAAAAGTTTCCCTGCTTTAGTTGTAAAATATCTAAGAGAAAACTGTGTAAGGAAATGCATATAAATACCTGTCTGTCTACTCCATTAACTATGAGATAATATGGGCAATTTGTAATTAACACCTTTGTGTCTAACCAGTTGTTATTTGGCGGAAAGGGTAGCTATACCTTGGGAATAATGAGTAAAGCATCAGCAAAAGCTTGGACTCCAAGACGAGCTCTTCCTGTTACTCTGTTCTTGTACATAACAAGAGCTTCAGCCATTGCCACTTCAACTGCACCAGCCCCAGGAACCACACAACCTATCGGAGAGAAAAAAGATGATTGGCAAGACATGCCATAAAAACCAAAAAAAAGAGATAGAGAAAAAAAGCAATTAACTATTCAACTATGTTTTACTGTCTACAGAAATCAAATAAATGGCACAGCTCAATAATTACTCAGTTGTCTTATGAAACATCCTGAGGTTACGTCATTAAATAAATAGGCATAGTATAGAAAACTGCTGCAAACAGCTTATTTCGCTGCTTACTCTCCAGTAAATGAGAATAATTTCTTTTTACCTTAATCTTACTTTTATAACTACTTTTTTTTTTTCTGAGATGGAATTTTACCCATCACCCAGGCTGGAGTGTAGTGGCATGATCTTGGCTCACTCCAACCTCTGCCTCCCAGGTTCAAGTGATCCTCCTACCTCAGCCTTCCTTCTAAGTAGCTGAGATTACAGGTATGCACCACCACACCCAGCTAATTTTTGTATTTTTAATAGAGATGGGGTTTCACCATGTCGGCCAGGCTGGTCTTGAACTCCTGACTTCAAGTGATCCACCCACCTCCACCTCTCAAAGTGCTGGGATTACAGGCATTGAGCCATCACACCCAGCCTTATGACTACTTTCAGAGATCATTATTTTTAATTTATATTGACATGTAACTGATTACAATATCTGACATGAAAATGTTTTAGGCCAAGATAATTTGGCCATAGTTTTTGATAGGGAATTCTTGGAACTCAATGAAGTATTTGTTTTTTGTATTGGAGCAGAACTCAAACTGCTATCTAAGAAAAAATTTATGTAGTACTATTTTCTAAAGCAAGAGTTTTGGTTAAACACATCAATTTTCACATCAGGATATGACTTCTTTATCTGCTACTTGTATGGTTTCATAAGGTTTATGACTGTTATCAGTAAATTTGCTTCAGAATCACCTATCTTTAAAACAAAACAATACAAAAATAATCTCCCCTTTTATCTCACATCATTTTAAAATTACTACCCCCTTTTTCTGCTTCACTTCACAATATAATCGCTCAGAGTTGTTTACCTACCAGATGATTACATCATTACCTCCCATTCACATTTTTAAGAAGTTCCTTGTTAAACACAGAATACACTCAAAAGAATATTTTATATGTGTAAAATATAAAGAATAAAAGTACAAATAAACAAATGTATCCACGTACCTACCACCCACCTTAAGAAAAAATTACTAGAATCTTTGAAAACTTCCCTGATCCCATTCCTTGTGAAAACACAAGGTATCAAAATTTTAGCATCCCTAAAGCAGTAGTTAAAGAGAAATTTACACCACTATACACCTATAATAGAAATGAAGACAGTTCTCAAACTAATGACCCCAGCTTCCACCTTAAGAAACTAAAAAATTCTCAAAAGACACAAACCACTAAAGCTTACTCAAAAAAAAAAAAAAAAAAAAAAACCTTTATAGGCCTGTGTCTATTTTGAAAATTGAATTTGTCATTAAAAGCTTTCTCACAAAGAAAACTCCAGGTTCAGATGGCTTTATTGACAGTCTACTAAACATTTAAGAAAGGAACAATACCAATTCTCCACAACAACTTAACGCTGTCAGAAATTTGAACAAGAAGAAAAACTTTCCAATTCACTCCATGAGGGCAGCATTATTCTAACACCAAAAAAGATAAAAGTATTATAAGAAAAAATACACACAGACCAATAGCCCTTACGAATATATATGTAAAAATTCTTAACAAAATTTTAGCCAGTTAAGTCAAACAATACATAAAAAGGACAATACACATAGTAGCATTATTTACAATAGCCAAAAGGTAAATGAAATGCAACACATATTTCTATTAATAGACAAATAAATTGTGGTTTATACATATAATAGAATATTATTCAACTGTAAAAAGGATGGAAATTCTGGCACATGCTACAACATGAGGGAACCTTGATGACACTATGCAAAGTGAAATAAGCCAGATACAAAAGGATAAAAACTGTATGATTCCAACTATATGAGATATATAAAGTAAATTCATAGATACAGAAAGTAGAATGGTGGTTACCCAGGGCTGGGGAGGTGGGTAGAAAATGGAGAGTTACTGTTTAATGGGTACAGAGTTTCAGTTCTGCAAGGAAAAAAAGTTCTGGACATGGGTGGTGATAATGGTTACACAACACTGTGAATGCACTTACTACTACTGAACTGTACACTTAAAAACTGTTAAACTGTAAATTTTATGTTATGTATATTTACCACAATTTTAAAATGTGTAACCCATTGAATTTTTAAAAAGTAAGATATAACTAGTATGGTTTATCCCAAGAATGTAAGGTTAGTTGAACAGTTGAATCAATCAATGTAATTTACTGCATTAAAAAACTAAATAAGGGCCAGGCATAGTGGCTCAGTGCCTATAACCACAGAACTTTGGGAGGCCACAGCAAGCAAATCACCTGAGGTCAGAAGTTTGAGACTAGCCAGGCCAACACGGTGAAACCCCATCTCTACTAAAAAAATACAAAACTTACCCGGGTGGGGTAGTGTGCCTGTAATCCCACCTACTCAGGAGGCTGAGGCAGGAGAATCGCTTGAATCTGGCAGGCGAAGGTTGCAGCGAGCCAAGATTTTGCCATGGCACTCTAGCCTGGGTGACAAAGCGAGACTCCATCCCCCTCAAAAAAAAAAACCAAAAAACCTAAATGAGAAAAATCATATGATCATCTTAATAGATGCAGAAAAAGCATTTGGCATTTATTCTGTGTGTGTGTGTGCGTGTGTGTGTCAAAAAAAAAAAAAAGTTTCATTCTTGTTGCCCAGGCTGGAGTGCAATGGTACAATCTTGACTCACTGCAACCTCCACCTCCCAGGTTCAAGAGATTCTCCTGTCTCAGCCTCCCAAGTATCTGGGATTACAGGCGCCTGGCACCACACTCAGCTAATTTTTGTATCTTTAGAAGAGATGGCGTTTCACCATGTTGGCCATGCTGGTCTCGAAACTCCTGACCTCAGGTGATCCACCTGCCTTGGCCTCCCAAAGTGCTGGGATTACAGGCATGATCCACCACCCCCAGCCTGATATTTCACATTTATTCCTGATTAAAAACTGTCAGCAAACTAGATGCAGAAAAGAACGTCCTCAACCTGATAAAAATCTATAGCTAACAACATACACAATGGAGAAAGATTGAATGCTTTCCCCCCTAAGATTGGGAATGAGGAAAGGATATCCATTCTCATTATTCCTAGTCAACATTATACTGGTGGTTCTAGCCCATGAAATAAGGGGGGGAAATTTTAAATATCCGTACTGGAAGGAAAAAATATAACTGTCTTATTAGCAGACAACATGATAATTTATATAGACAATTCAATGAAGCCTATAAGAAAGCTAATAGGAGTAATAAGTGATTTGGCAAGGTTGCAGAATTCAATATCAATGTATAAAAATAAACTATATTTCTATATATTAGCAACTAACAATCAGAAATTGAAATTTTAAAAATAACATATACAATAGTAACAAAATAAATGAAATACAGAGAGATAAATATGGGGGGGAAGTGTTTGAGGCTCATATACTAAGAATTACAAAATATTGCTGAGATAAATTCAAGAATACTCAAATAAATAGAAAAAATGATATTCATGAGTTAGATGGTTCATGATTAAGATATCAACTATCCCCAAATTAATCTATAGATTCAATAAAATTCCAATGAAGTCAGGTGCAGTGGCTCACACCTGTAATCCCAGCACTTTGGGAGGCCAAGGTGGGAAGATTGCTTGAGTCAAAGAGTTTGAGACCAGCCTGGGCAACAAATAATGAGACGTTGTCTATACAGAAAATTAAAAAATTAACCAGGCATAGTGGTGCATGGTTGTGGTTCCAGCTACTTGGGAAGCCAAGGTGAGAGAGTCACTTGAGTCCAAGAGTTTGAGACCAGCCTGGGCAACAACATAATGAGACACTTGTCTCTACAGAAAATAAAAAAGTTAACCAGGCATAGTGATGCACAGTCGTGGTTCCAGCTATTTGGGAAGCTAAGGTGGGAAAGTCACTTGAGCTCGATAGGTCGAGTCTGCAGTGAGCCATGATCATGCCACTGCACTCCAGCCTGGGCAACACAGTATGACCTTGTCTCAAAAACAAAACAAACAAACAAACAAACAAAAAAAGTTCCAATCAAAATCCCAGCAGCAGTCTTTTTGGTAGAAATTGACAAGCTGATTCTAAAATTCATATGGAAATGCCAAAGACTTAGAATGACCAAAATAACTTTAAAATGAGAGTTAACAATACTGATTTCAAGATTTATTATAAAGCTGCAGCCATCAGGACAGTATGATATTAACATTAAAATAGACAAATACATCAGTAGAACAGAAAAAAAGAGCACAGAAACAGAACCACACAAATATGAAAAACTATTTTTTTATACAGGAGCAAAGGCAATTCAGTAGTGAGAAGTAAAGTCTTTTCAACAAATAAGACTAAAACAATCTGATACCTTTATATGAAAACAATGAACTTGTATCCTACTTGCACCACATACAAAAATTAACTTAAAGTGAATCACAGACCTAAACGTAAAACCTAAGACTATAACACTTCTAGAAGAAAATTTTTGTAACCCTCGGTTAGGTAAAGATTTTTTAGACACCACACTAAAAGCATAATCCATGAGAGAATAAAAATAATAAATTAGACTTCATCAAAATTAAGAACTTCTCTGAAAAGCACTATTAATAATAAAGTAAGACATAGAGGAGAAAAATCTGCCAATCATATATCTGAAAAAGCACTTGTATCCAATATACATACAAAGAACTCTCAAACTCAACAATAGAAAACTAACACCACAATTTTTTTTCCTTTTTTTTTTTTTTGGAAACGGTCTTGCTCTGCTGTCACCCGGACTGGAGTACAGTGGTGTGATCATAGCTCACTGTAACCTCAAACTCTTGGGGCTCATGTAACCTTCCTGCCTCAGCCTCCTAAGTAGCTGGAACTACAGGTGCAGACCACCATGCCTGGCTATTTGTGTGTATGTATGTAGAGTCATGGTCTTGCTGTGTTGCCCAGGCTGGTTTCAAACTCCCAGGCTCAAGCAGTCCTCCCACCTTGGCCCCCCAAAGTGCTGGAATTACAGGTGAGAACCACTGTGCATGGCCAACAATCTGATTTTTCAACGGGCAAAAGATTTAAACAGAAAATTCACCAAAGATGTGGAGGGCAAATACACACATTAAAAGATGGTCAACATCAGCTGAATGTGGTGGCTCATGCCTGCAAATCCCAGCACTCTGGGAGGCTGAGGTGAGAAGGTTGCTTGAGGCCAGGAGTTCAAGACCAGCCTGGGCAACACAGAGAAACCTCATCTCTACAAAAAAATTTAAAAATCAGCCAGGTGTAGGCCAGGCACAGTGGCTCATGCCTGTAACCCCAGCACTTTGGAAGCCCAAGGCGGGCAGATCACCTGAGGTCAGGAGTTCGAGATCAGCCTAGCCAATATGGTAAAACCTGTTTCTACTAAAAATACAAAAATAAGCCAGGCGTGGTGGTGTACACCTGTATCCCAGCTACTCGGGAGGCTGAGGCAGGATAATTGCTTGAACCTGGAAGGCAGAGGTTGCAGAGAGCCGAGATCACACCATCGCACTCCAGCTTGAGAACAAGAGTGAAACTCCGTCTCAAAAAAAAATTAGCCAGGTGTGGTGGTATGCACCTATTGTCCAGCTAAGGCGGGTGGATCACTTGGGCACAGGAGTTTAAGGCTGCATGATAACGCCACTGCACTCCAGCCAGGGTGACAGAGCAAGACCCTGTCTCAAAAAAAAAAAAAAAAGTGTGTGTGTGTGTGTGTGTATGTGTGCGTGTGTGGGGGGGGGGGGGGGGGTTTGCAGCCAGGCACAGTGGCTTATGCCTCTAATCCCAGCACTTTGAGAGGCAAAGGCAAGTGGATCGCTTCAGCCCAGGAGCTCAGGACCAACCCTGGCAACATGGTGAAACCTCATCTCTATCAAAAATACAAAAATTAGCCAGTTTCAAAACCTGGTCTCAAAACAAACAGATTAAGATTTAAAATTTAAAAGTAAAAAAAAAAAAATTTTAAGGCCAGGCATGGTGGCTCACACCTATAATTTCAGCACTTCAGTAGGCCAAGGAAGGCAGACTGCTTGAACCCAGGAGTTCAAGACCAGCTTGGCCAACATGGCGAAACCTCATTTCTACTAAAAATATAAAAAGTTAGCCAGGTGTGGTGGTGCATACCTGTAATCTCAGCTACTTGGGAGTGTGAGAAAGGAAAATCACTTGAACCTGGGAGGCGGAGGTTGCAGTGGGCCGAGATCGCATCACTGCACTCCAGCCTGGGCAACAGAGCAAGACTCTGTCATATCCATCACAAGAGCTTACCATCTTCAATGGCATTTTTGATAGCACGAAGTCCATCTCTTATGGCATCCTTGATTTGTAGTGAGAGTATGCTTATTTGGTCCTTTAACCAACAAGGTGACAGAGCGAGGGTTAATACACTCCTCAATAAAAGTGAACTTTTCTTCACCCTAAAGGACAGCACAAAAATATTTAACTTTAATATTTAATGTCATTCTAAAATCAACACTTAATTTATACTAGAATGCAATCGTCATTTGAATTTTTCTTATCAAGCATAACTAAAGATATGTTTTACAGGAGTTAAGTTATATCTGAACTCTTAACATTTAGGTAAATAAATTGTAAAATCTGTTCTGTGAATTAGATCTGAAAACACAAAACATGAAATAAAAGATCAAGTAGTATTTTTAAAACGAAAGGCTTAGTATTCACTTTATAACCACTATTCACAGAAATACTCACTAATGTGTACTCATATACAAGACCAGCATGTCCCAAGCAATCTACAGTGAGATCTTCAAAAGAATTCACAGCCATTCCACCACAAGCAAGAGAGAGTCTGAAATTACATATATGTTACCATAGCTCGATTATGGAAAATATAAATAATAATTTCTTAGAGGAGAAAAGATATGCAGAAAACTGTATTTCTTACTGTATTGTACTGTTTGGGGTTTTGTTTAACTGACTAATAAAATTGTCTATATCAAGTACAACATGATATTTTTAAATATGTATATACTGTGCAATGGCTAAATCAAGCTAAGAATACAATACATTGTATATTCTTGGATGGTTTTGCAAAACATTTTTTAAATAACAGTATATTGTTATTAACTATAGTTGCCATGTTGAACAACAGATCTCTTGAATTTATTCCTCCTAACTGAAATTTTGTATCCTTTCACCTACATGTTCTCATTGCCCCTCCCCTTGCACTGCACCAGCCCCTGGTAACCACCATTCTACTATCTACTTCTATGAGTTCAACTTTTTTAGATTTCATATATAAAAGTGAAATCATGCTGTATTATGTTGTATTGTTTTGTTTTTAAAATCTGTTTTAAAAAGATAAAAACTTTCCTTATACTTCAACAAAGTTCTGCAGTAAGTTAACAACCTTGCTTTTTGACAGTTCAATTGTTTACTGAAACTAAGACCGAAATTTGTATTTTTTGTGCTACTCTTTCGTTTAACAATATTTACACATAAGCTAAAAGGAAAACACATGGGATAATTCCCATTTACTCTGTTAAAAACTTGGGATATATAATTATCTGCAAGCTTACCTTTCCATATTTCTTCTTTTTGCTCTGCGAAGAGCTACTATTCCATGTTTTGCAAGAGTATCTAAGGAAAATGGATCAATTCCCTATAATCAAGTTAACATAAAAATTATAAACATGTTTTAAACCAGTATTTCTCAAACCTTTTGGTCTCAGCACCACTTTATTTTCTTAAAAATTGTTAAGTACCCGAAAGAGTTTTTGTTTATGTAAGCTCTATCTATAATATTTATCATGTTATAAAAACTGAGACATTTTAAAATATTTATTAATTCATTTAAATAATAAGCCCATTTTATGTTAATATATACAATGTGTTAAATTAAAATTTACTATAATTTTGAAAGCAAAAATATATATAGCGAGCTAGTGGTGGCATATTTAACACTTTTGCAAAGCTCTTCCATGTCTATCTTCATAGAAAACAAATGGATTCTCATATCTGCTTCAGTATTCAGTTTGGAATGATATGTTATTTTGGTTTAAGTTTATGAAGAAAGTCTGGCCCCACACAGACAAATATTGTAAACGGAGTAATATTTTAATAACCTTTCAGACAACTATGGAAATTCTTCTTTGATACTGTACCAAAACTCAACAAGTAATAGTTTTTCAAAGGTTAGTTTCACTATAAAACCATAGCAATGAGCTTTTAATACTATCTCACATTAAAACACATTGGTGTAACTAGAACACTGAATGGATTATTTAACCATGCACGATTTATAAAAATTATGCATTTTTAGTCATGTAGATAGTATTAGTTCACTGAGTTACACAAAGTTTCCACATGTTGCCACATTTCATCTATAACATGTTATGTTATACATGTGGAAACTTTGCCTCAAGGAACAAAAAGTCACATTTGTTAATATCACTACTATTAACAGGAAGGTCTTTTAAGTACTGGAAAGCTGTCAAGCTCACATAGCAGATACAAGTTTTCTGAAATTCTAATTTTTGTTTAAAAGTTCAAATGTTATTGACAACAAATACTGTCAGTTGTTTTAGGTGATAGGATTTCTTCATTCACTTTTGAGAAAAATCTACCGAATACCCGTATCTAAATAACCATAGTTTGTCTGCCAGTCATTCTTTCAGGTACAAGTGGCATTCTATGAAAAAGTAGCTAGTTTATCTTGCAATTCAAACAATTACACAAGTGCTTTCCTTCAAGACAACCAGCATATTTTGGTAAGCAATAGAAGTGCTTTGTAGTTCCTAGTTCCATAATCCCAACACTTTGGTAGGCCAAGGCAAGAGGATCACTTGAGGCCAGGAGTTTGAGACCAACCTGCACAACATGGCAATACCCTGCCTCTACAAAAAAAAAAAAAAAAAAAACTTGAAAATCAGCCAGGCATGCTGGCACATAGCTGTAGTCCTGACTACTTGGGAGACTGAGGTGGAAAGATCACTTGAGCCGAGGAGGTCAAGGTTGTAGTGAGCTACAACTCTGCCACTGCACTCCAGCTTGGGTATCAGAGCAAGACCCTATCTTAAAAAAAAAAATGTTTTGTGCATGCCTCATATTTTGTCATACATAATAATAAAAGGATGCATACTTAAGAATCCAAATTTAATATAATTAATAAGTTTTACCACTTGATCAAGACATTCTTAAATGAAACATGGTTCTCACAGCACCTAAAAAAAAAAGAAACTAACTGCCTTTTTTTTTTCACTGCAAGTGAGCAGTGGTGTGGCAGTAGGAATACAATAACTACTATTATAGATTGGTGCTACTTCTTTGATTTGTACTAAGAGGCCAGCAGTTTTACAGATTGCTTTTGCAACATCATTGCAAATGTCAACACAATGTAAAAGGCATAATTATTATGAAAATAGTTTTTGACCTCACAGACTCTCTGAAAAAAATCTTAGGAATTCCTAGGGGTCCACAAACCACACTTCAAGAAATGCGTAAGAACATTTACAAATAATTAAAATCTAAGCTTTCTTTCTCACCTTTTGATTAATGACAACAAATCCTTTTTTGGACTGAGCACAGACTTTGTCCTTCAGGTCTATTATTTTTTGTACTCTATCTTCAATAAATTTTCTTTCAGCTTTTACCAATTTCTCTTTCTCTTCTGCAGTCTTATAAAAGAAACCAGAGTTCACCTCTCTAAAAGATTAATAAAAACCAGCTAGTAAAGGCAGGAGGAAAAAGGAAAAAAGGTGGAAGTAGTCTACACCATACATCTGGAAGGAAAGAGATTTTTTGTTTTGTTTTGTTTTGTTTTTGAGACGGAGTCTCGCTCTGTTGCCAGGCTGGAATGCGGTGGCATGATCCTGGCTCACTGCAACCTCTGCCTCCGGGTTCAAGCGATTCTCCTGCCTCAGCTTCCTGAGTAGCTGGAACTACAGGCGCAAGCCACCACACCCAACTAATTTTTTTTTTTTTTCTTTAGAGACGGTTTCACCACGTTGGCCAGATGGTCTTGATCTCTTGACCTTGTGATGCACCTGCCTCGGCCTCCCAAAGTGTTGGCATTACAGGCATGAGCCACTGCGCCTGGCCCCAGGAAAGAGATTTTAAAACACCTTTAGAAAAAAACAATTTCAAAAGTTGTAAAGAGAAAGTAACACGTACGTTTTTTCATATTCTAGTGAAACATTGCAAATAAGGATAAATGCATCTTCTACTCGCTTCTTCATGTCTGGATGACGGGCACCATGATCCAAAACTAATCCTCGGATCAACCTATTAAAAATATTAATGTTTCTTGCTTTGAATATATACTCTAAAATTTGGTATAAAATTACAATTATACTCTTAAAGTTATATCAATACTGCCAGGACACACATTGTTTCCTTGTACCAACTTTAACAGTTTTTGGTGTTTTTGCTCTTGTTTTCAGAGATGGGGGTCTCACTATGATGTCCAGGCTAGCCTCAAACCCTTGGGCTCAAGCAATCCTCCTGCCTCAGCCTCCCAAGTAGTTGGGACTAAAGGAGTGTACCACCTCACCCACCTCCTTGTGCTGACTTTAAAACCTAACATATAATTAGTAAAATTAGGAAAGAGAATCTACTTTAACATATTGTGACTACGAAGTTGCAATAAAAAGTCAAGCCAGAATTATTTTCTAAGTTACGTGATTCAAAAACACGACACAGCATATCACACAATGAAAGGTATGCATACAATGAGTTTCTTAGGAACATTTATTCAAAATGATTATATGGAACAATGAAAAATTATTAACCTAAATGTCCAACAATAGGGTATTATTCAGCAAATAATGACCCAACTATTTGATGGTTATAAAAAGTATATGTAATAACATGCAAAAATATTTATAGGGCCAGCTGATAAGCATAGAATGACGAATTCCATATAAAGCATGACTATAACTATTCTTTTTAAAAACAAACAACTTGGCATTAAAAAGAAAAACATGAGAGAAACCTAAGAGTAGTGTTAGGTTGGGTGGGAGGAATACAGATGATTTGGAAAGGAGGTGTTTTTTTCATGTTTTCCAGATATTCTTTCAGGAACAATTTTTTTTTAACTTTATGAAATTAATTTACAAAACATTTAGGGGATGGACTTTCTACTTATGAATGCTTTATAACTAATTTTTGTTATACATTTAAAAAATAATTTGTAGTAGCTCAACATAATTATAAGGAAGTTTTCAAAATTTTAATTTAACTGGTTCACTCCACCTCTTAACAGAATGTAAACATGTCTAGGAAGAAACAAACAAAAAAACTCAATGTTCAACATTCCTCACTTTTCAAGCCTCCTTCACTTCTCTCCCTTCCCACTCTGGGCAAATGACATTGTTTCTTTGAGAAAATAGAAACATTGTCCCAATATTACCTGTACTAATCCACTTGCACTTGAACCTGAACCTCCTACTACTATGAAATGAACTGTCCATGTTCCTCTCTACCGGTAACCCCTCTACGTATGTACTGGATTCCATTTCCCCTCTCTGTTCTCGCACTGTCCCCTAATCCCCCATATCAGTACTTGCCTACAGGACAATACTTACCAGCATACAATCTTGTGGTAATAATTTCTATCATTAATACAAAGAATCCTTCTCCCCCAACCCCATTCTCATATTCCCTTCTAGCTACTGCCCCATTTCTCTGTTCTCCTTTATAGCTAAATTTCTCTCAGTTACCATTTTCTCTTGAGCCCACCTTCAATACGACTTTTATTTCCACCTCTTTATTCAATCAGCTCTCATTAAAGCTGAAAAAGTAAATGTTTTTCAAATATAACAATCAACTCAGTTCACAGCAATGTACTCAAACTTTCAGCAGCATATGACACAGCTGATTACTGTCTCCTTGAAATACTTTCTTCTCTTGGCTTCTGGGGCACCACTCTCCCTTGGCTCTAATGCCTCACTGACTACCCCCTTCTCAGTCCCTTTTGCTAAATTCGCCTCATCTTCTCAAACTCTAAACATCCAAGTTCCCAGGGCTCATGCTTCAAAATTCCTCTACTATATTCACTTCCCAGATGGTCTCATTAATTCATGGCTTTAAGTCATCTATACACTAATGATTCTCAAATACAAGCTTCTAGTGCAGACCTCTATTCTGAACTCCAGACACATCTTTCCAACTTACTACTCAGCATCTCCACATGGATCCCTAATAGGCATCTCAAACATAACATTCTCCAAACTGAACTGTTGATTTATTTCCCCAAATTGTCTTCTCCTAGTCTTCTCCATCCAAGAAACAGCACCTCCACTTTTCCTGCTGATCATGCAAAAGCCCAAGAGATATCCCTGACTGCTCTGTTTCTGTCATGTCCTATGTTGAACCATCAACAAATCCTATTGCCCTTTTCTTCTAAGTACACCCTAATCTAAACCATGTTCATTTCACACTTCTACTATACCGGCATTCCTAACTGGTCTCCGGTTTCTGCCCTTGCTCCTCTTTTACCTCCCAATCAGCCATTTTGTGTGTATTCCTCACACAAAAACCACAGATAATCTTCTGAAATATAAATCAAGAACTTGTTATCCTCAGCAATAGCAGGCTAACTGGGATCAGTCTACTATGAAAACAACTAAACATGCTGGCTGAAAAGCAAAAACCTTAGCAACGTTGGAGAGCTATGATAGTAAATAATCACTAGGCCAAACTGAAATAAAACAGAAACTCCAAGAGGTAAATAGAGAACTGAAGAAACTGTAGATTTTTTTTTTTTGAGACGGAGTTTCACTCTTGTTACCCAGGCTGGAGTGCAATGGCACGATCTCGGCTCACCGCAACCTCCGCCTCCTGGGTTCAGGCAATTCTCCTGCCTCAGCCTCCTGAGTAGCTGGGATTACAGGCACGTGCCACCATGCCCAGCTAATTTTTTGTATTTTTTAGTAGAGACGGGGTTTCACCATGTTGACCAGGATGGTCTCGATCTCTTGACCTCGTGATCCACCCGCCTCGGCCTCCCAAAGTGCTGGGATTACAGGCTTGAGCCACCCCGCCCAGCGATTTTTTTAATCTTAAAGTCATTTCACAATCCAGGCAAATCTGAACTTTGGTTTCAATGTCTTCACAATGAGAAGAAAACAGAATCAAAAGCTCACCCAAAGTGGGGTGTCTTACAGGAGACCCTCTTCACATTAAGTTGGAACCACAAAGGACTACATACTCAGGATTATCCAGAAGGAAGGGCTAGAAATAATCAGCCCTCACATGGTCTTACAGTCAGAATTCATATCAAATGGATATTCCCAAAAACCTCAAGATGTGAATTCAATTTAAAGTAGTCCCTAGGCTCCTTGAGGCAGCAAATGCAAATGCTCTCTGCAGAAGGGCAACTTTATTCTAGGTCTCAAATTATTTCTATCAGTACTTTTTTCAAGTACAATTAATGGCAAATATGGAAACAAAGCATGATGAGCATGAACCAGAAAATACAATAAATACTAGAAAGAGACAAGTCAAAACTTTAGATATTATAAGTATCAAACACAAACTATATGTTTAAAGAAAGAAAAAAAGGCAAGGTTGGAAAGATCTGCAAGGAATAGAAAACCATAAAAAGTAATATGGCAGATTTAAAAAAGAACCAAATAGAACTTCTATAAATAGTAAATAAGGACATCCACACATATACACACAGATATTACAAATTCAAGAAAACAACAGAAATACATCCGTATGTCTAATAAAAGAATGTTACAATGTTTATAGCAACGCTATTAATAATGGCCAAAAATTGAAAACTACCTAAATGCCAATCAACAGTAGAATGAATAAACTGTGGTATACTAACACAAGAAAATACTAAATAGCAATGAGAATGACCAATCTACTAATCACACAAAAATACAAATGAGTCTCACAAACAATGTTAAGCGAAAAAAGTCAGAAACAAACCTACCTTATGATTCCACTTATACAAGTACAAAACAGGTAACAATCTACACTGTAGAAATGCAGATTACTCTAGAAGAAATATGGCTGAAGGGAGCAAAAGAGGGGCTTTTAAGATACTAGTAGTTCTGCTTCTTGTAGAGTGATGATTACACAGATATATCTGGAAAATTAATCAAGCCATATTGGTATTATAGCTGTATGATTCAGTGTGTATTACACTTCATTAGAAAGTTTTTTTTAAAACCAAGGGATTGGTTTTAGAGTAGACATTGTTTAAAAGAAAATTAGGGAACAACAAAATAAATCACTAGAAATTATCCAGAAAGCAACACAAAAGACAACAAAACAAAAGGGACATAAAAGACAAAATTAAGAACATCAAGCAAACATTTAAGTGGAGAAAGAGAAAAAGGGATGAACAAAAGAAATGTTTAAACCGATAATGGATGGAAATTTTTTAGAACCAGATAAACAGTAACAATTCACAGACTCAAAAGCCAGAAAATGCCAACCACAATAAACAAAAAGAAATACACACCTAGCTATATCACAGTAAAAGTATACAATACCAAAGACAGAGAAATATCTTAAAATCACCTAGGTAAACAAAGGACTCACAGCTTTAAAAGACTCATGGTGCAGGCCGGGCGCAGTGGCTCACGCCTTTAATCCCAGGACTTTGGGAGGCTGAGGCGGGTGGATCACGAGGTCAGGAGATCGAGACCATCCTGGTCAGCATGGTGAAACCCCATCTCTACCAAAAA